AATGATTATCCATACCCCATAGCACCCAAGACTATGAAGCTACTTTGAGAGAATATTTTGCCCTATAAATATTTTGCCCTGTAATATAATTACAATAAATGAAATTGTTAACTATTTGTTGCCCTCCAAATCAACTGCCCAAGCTTGATGTGCCTCAGTCTGCTGATGGGAGGGCTGGCCCTGATGCTCTACTAACAAAACTACTCATTCTCCATGTGATTATAACCTGGGAAAGAAATTGGTTAGAGCGTCTAACAATATATTTGCATTTTTTTCATTCGAAACTAAATCCCATTTAGTTAAATAGTCTGTACCTATCTATGGTATAGACTATAGCCCTGCATACATTAAGATGGATGGAAAAGCAGACTTTTTAAAAAAGAGGAATGGAACTGAATATAATCTAATGGGGACATCTTTACCCTGGAGAATATGCTTATTTATTTTGCTCAGTCTTGGTTTTAGTTGAACAGGCTTGTACATTTGGGGTAGAGATGGGAATGACATGAGTATACAGTACAGAGCAGGCAGTCATGTCTTTAAGGGAGCAGTTCGCACAATGAAACTGAAACTGGATGGATGAGTCGCTGAACAGACCTAACTTTTCTCTGTTTCAGTTGTATTCCCATTGGCCTTAGTTTTATCAGCTTGCAGCTATGTCAAGACCACAAACAGATGCACAGATGCATACGTATAGGCCTCTAGCAAGGTAAAAGAGATAGTTCTGATTGGATGTTGCATGGAGATCTATGTATATGGCTGAATGCAAGAAACTGAAATTGAAGAGAGGTTGAGTATTTTAGCAAGACAGTAGTCCAAGCATACTTTCAAATCAACCATGAAGTACTTCTAGGACAGAGCGATACAAGTTTTGGGAGGGTCTTCAGAGTCCTCAAACATGAATTCTACTGAAAATGTCAGTTGAGGAGATTTCAAACATTCCACATATGCAAAGAAACTTTAGAATATTACTGAGCTAGAACAGTTCTGCAAGGAAGAGTAGGGAAAAACTCCAAAAGCAAGAATAGATATACTCTTTTTTGCTACAGGAAATGTCTGCAAGCTGTTATTTCTGCATGTGAAGATGTTACAAAGTACTGATTGAAAGGTTGCCCCAAAATGTCTACCTTTGACATATTCACTGTTTTCTTATTTTGAATCTGTAAACAGCTGCCTATAAATAATAAGTACACATCCAAATTTGTAGAAAGATGTATGTTTAAATGTGTGCCATGTATTGTGTCAGCTTCTGTTTAGGTATAGATTCATTGCAACATAAAAATTGACCAGGAATATCTAAACTTTTGCATATAACTGTTTGGAAGTTCTAGCAGGGGAGCACAGCTGTTGTATGCCCTTGAAGATTGGTACACTCCTTCTGTCTGGGATGGTCACCCTCTTCAAACCAAGTCTATACGTAGCTTTGGGAGGGATGGAGCAATGAGGGAGGAAAGGGGCACCCATCTAGTCAGCCAGATCAGCCAAATCAACTCTGGTGATAAGTGGGGTGACAGATATCGCAGTCCAATCACTCTCTGGTGTCTTCACATGAACTATGGACAGGCAGTGGTAGGACAGCTGGGCAACATAGAAATTCTTTCTTGTCTGAGGGACTTCGAGTGAAACTCACTAAACCATGAGCTTCTTTTAAAAATCAGTGAACCTCATTGAGCGTATTTATATGATACACTTACTATGTCAGGGGTTAGTGAATTGCTCTTCCTTTGTTTCTTCCCCTTGCACCAAACATCACACATACACCGAGCACTCTCCTTAAATCATGGAGTGGTCTGGTGCTGAAGTGAGTTTTGACTGATGGTGAAAGTTGCTCTTGTTTCCAGCAAATATTTTGGGCACTTTCAAAGGAACCTAACTTTCAGAGGAGCCTGATGAAGCCTGACTGTCTCCTTATGGACATAGATTTAGGACAAGAAGACATATCTTCACGTACAGCTGAACACTGGTTTAGCATATTCCAGAACAGTACTAAATCTGTACGTAAAAGCAGCTTAAACAACAGCTGACAGGCATGGGGAGGGTTGTGCTGTGAAACAGCAGAGAAAGCACCAATTTCCTCTCCTGCTTCACCATTCTGTTCCCCCCGGTTGCTATCACTAATCATCTGCTGTTCACACTGAACCATGTATCTTAGCCTGGAATCAGCTCAGAAACCTGGCAGATATAGGTTGAAAGAAATGGACTGTCCCACTGTGCACAGCAGAATGGCCCTGGAAGTGGCTAGGGATTGGAGGAGAGGGGGCATGTCTGCAGCACCCTAAAATAGCTAAGAGGTACTGAGTTGATCCTGCCCCTTGGGGTCACCTGACCTTGGGGTCAGTGAAATACATCAGACAGTCAAAATTATTGTCTCCTTAAAAGGGAAAACACTGCTTTATCATTGGAACAATTTAGGGCAATTTTAAGCTGTCCCAGGTATGGGTTGGGGACATTATGAAGACAAGGTTTGAAATACAGTAGAAAAGAGAGGATGCTTGGGCATATTCATGCCATAATTAGGTAAAATAAGGAAAAACCCTAATACTGATAATGTGTGTGTGTGTGCGTGCGGATGTAGAATTTGGCCTCTCTCCTTATCTAGAAATGGCTGGATCTGGAGGATTAGATAACATGCTGGGGTTACAGTGACCCAGGTAGTATAGCAAATGATTGAAAATATATCTCAAGGTCCAGGTTATACATTGTGGAACTGCTACTTTCCTGTGACAGAATAGCAGCCATGCATTAACCTCTCACTTGCTATCAAGCTCACTATTTTTTTGCAGCCCTTATTATCGAAGACTCTACAGATTCTCAGGGAGAAATCTTCCCTAGTCTTGTTTCACTTCAATGTCTATCAGAACATACCCAAGCAATGCGACTATAATGCACTAGCCATGTGGTGCACCAAAAATGACTGAAGAGTTGGTGGAAGTGATGAGGTCACCACCTTTTCCACACAGCTGGTAGTCACCCTGTCTCCTTTCCAGCCCTGCTTGCCCTAACAACAGGACAGAGAGATTCCAAAGCTATTACTGTAAACTTAAATTGATCAAGACTGTTATACTTTCATCTTCCCATATCATGGTCTAGGTTACATCTCATGTCCTCCTTTATTGTCAACACTTCTCACAGTTTAGACAGGTAAATGATGGTAATTAATTGCTTGGCGCTTTTTGTCCAATGGAGAGGTACAGATTCTAACCCAATTTGGTGCTTGCAACAGCAGAAACCCAAGGGGATAGCAGAGAAGAATAATTGTTATTCTATATTTGATCTATACTGTTGCCTTATATTGCATCAGACTATGGGTTGATTTATCAAAATCTGGTGCATTCTGAATGTTCCTGGTTTTTTAGAAATTTAAGCATAGGCTTCCTACTTAAGATCCTTTAAGTGGAAATACTGGGTATTAAAACTGGGGTCTTACAGAGGCCAACCTTTGCCCTAACACTGAGCTACAGCCCGCCCAGAAATTTGGAATATGGTTTGAGCCAGCGCCTAAGCATTGCGTCTCTGGGATGAATACAAACATGTAACAGAGGCCCCCATTCCTGCATAATCTTTGGCTCATTTGGAAAATTGATAAGGAAGACCCCATGTGTTTGAAAAAAGAGGGCTGAACTTCTTTAGTTTATTCAGTTCCCTCTGTTTAAGCTGGTTAGTTTCTAGCAGCTTGATTGTAACCGCACATGTAAGTATGTATGTAATTATATCAATTATGCTTGAGTGACAAATGCCCCTTAGATCCTGCTTTATTTCTACTGCAATATAGCCTTGTTAATCTAGCTGTAGCAGCTAAGAGTTGGAGCCCTGTACATTGGGAGGACGTCATGTTGGAAAAACTGCCCTAGTGAGTAAGCACTGCTCTTCAATATGCTATAAAACAGTGTTTCTCAACTGTGGCAACTTTAAGATGTGTGGACTTCAACTCCCAGGATTCCTCACCCACCCAGGTGGATGGGGGGGTGCTGGGGGGGTGGT